TCTAACTCTCTATCCCTCTCCCTCCCTCTCTGTAAAAAATCAATAAAACAAACAAACAAACATGCAACTATCATGTGATCCAGCACGTGCACTCTTGGGCAGGCCGAGATAAAGGGAAATGTATGTTCACACAAAAACCTGTAACAGCCCCAAATGGGAAACACCGATATGTCCTCTCCACTTAAAATATGTTATTGCCCTGGCCGGGTTGCTCAGTGGTTAGAGTATAGCGGGCTCGATTCCCAGCCAAGGGCACATGCCTTGATTACAAGTTCAATCTCTGGCCCCGGTCGGGAGGCAACCAAGTAATGTGTCTCTCTCAGGTCAATGTTTCTCTCTCTCTCTCTCTCTCTCTCTCTCTCTCTCTCTCTCTCTCTCTCTCCTTTCTTTCTTTCTCCCTCCCCCTCCCTTCCACTCTTTCTAAAAATCAATGGGAAAAATATCCTACTCCTTGGGTGAGGATTAAAAAAAAAAAGACTATAAGTTATCAATGGGGGCAATATTAACCACAAATTGGGGTGGTTTGGGGTGGGAACAAGACTTTTTGCTCCCCCCCAAAGATATTTCAATGGTTTGTGGCCTTCCAGAACTTCACCTTCCCTGACAAAATCTTACTCATCAGTATTTAACTTCTCTCATTAAATTAAAGTTGTTTTTTTTTTAAGGGGATGATAATGAGAAAAAAGGTTGAGAAATACTGTCTGAAAGGTATTTACACCCACTTCCAATGGGTGGTTTCATGGTGTGGTGACTCAGCGTAGGTTGGATTACAGTTGTGCCTCTGTTTCCCTACCTGCGAAATAGTCTGGTTTATGTACTACGGTGACTGTGGAAGTAAGTGAGATGATTCATATGAAGTGTTAGCTGTTGTCATAATCATCCCCATTTTATGCGGAAAGGGAAGGTCAGACAGGAAGACACTTGCTCTCGGGTACAAAAGCCTTGGGGGCGCCAGAGGCCAGCTCCACAGCTGCTGGGCTGGCTGGGGGAGAACTCATTTCCCCCCTTGAGTCTTTCCTGTCCCTCTCTGAGGAGCTGGTTCTGTCACGGACGGTCCCAAGTGGGAACTGGCACAGGCTGGCAGCCCGCTGGGCACCCGTCCAGTTCTGGAATGCCCAAGGGTGAGCCCCGGCTGGAGAATGGGGCAATCGCTTGCTGCCTCCTGCAGGTGGAACTGGGAAATGCAAGCACCGAGACGGTCCCAAGTCGTCTACTAGTACACTAGGGAATGCTCCCCCCGCCCCCCAGCCCCCTTCACCCTTCCCGTCCCCCCATCCCCATCCTCAACAATTTGGGCAACAGTAGTACAAACTAAGATTCACATTGCCCATTGAACCCTCAAAATATGGCAACAAAAGAAAACGACATCCAAATGTACGCAAAACACTCAAAAAGACGAGGGGTTTTAAGAAATGGAATTTGTCAAATTGGCTTCACTGGGAGGGAGAGGGGGGCAAGAGCAGAGAAACCAGAAGTGTGTGCCAAAGCCGGAAGTGTGCCAAAGCCGGAAGTGTGTCGGAGGAGGCGGTAGAGTCGGAGGAGGCGGTAGAGAGCCTGACTCTCCGCCCCGCCCACAGACGCAGAAGTGTGCCAAAGGCGCATGAGCAGCGCCTAGCTCGACCAATGAGGACGAAGTGAGGCGGGATTTCGGCCGGATATAATGTTTCTAAACAGGAAGTGTGGCAGTTTACTACCGAACTGCGGGCGGGCGCCATGGCGGCCTACGAGCAGGTCCAAAAGGGGCCCTTGAAGCTGAAAGGCGTCGCAGAGCTCGGCGTGACCAAGCGGTGAGTCCCAAGAGCCGGCGGGAACCCCATCTTCTGCCCTTAAGCCACTTTCCGACACCCCGGCCTCTTGCTCTCTGATCCGATCTTACCCCATATTCCCTCCACCACCACCCCTCGTCTCCCCTTTCAGGAAGAAGAAAAAGAAGGACAAAGACAAGGCGAAACTCCTGGAAGCCATGGGAACGAGCAAGAAGAACGAGGAGGAGAAGCGGCGCGGCCTGGACAAGCGGACCCCGGCCCAGGCGGCCTTCGAGAAGATGCAGGAAAAGCGGGTGAGGCGGGTGGGCAGGCCGGGGATGCCTCGCTCCGTGGGCACGCGTCTCCCGGAGCCGATGCCTAGGACGGTCCGGGAGACTCGAAACCCGGACGCTTGAGGGATGGCGAGCGGCCCAGGGAGGACCTTGATTCCGGGGAGAAGATGCTCTGTGAGGAGAAGAGCCTACTGCCTGAGAAGCCCTTCGGGCCCGAGGGCAGGCAGAATATAGAGCTGCAGGTGGTGTTGGATAGGAGCGGGAGCTCGGAGACCCGAGTGTGGA